ATTATTTACATTGTTTGAAATATAATTATTTGGGGGGGGGTAAAAAGGCTAATTATTTTCATAATAATTATCACAATAGTAAATTATTCATAAGATGGGTGAGTATTATTGTTGTCATTATTATTAATAAATTGTTTTACCATTTCTGTAAGTCCTTCTTTGTTTCTCCACCCACTTCTCATCCTCATCATCAAGGTTAGGATCATAAAATAACTCGTCGTTTGTTAGCTTGCGAACTTTTCTCTTTGTCTTTGACTTACTCTTCATCTCTAGACCTTCGTACAGCAAAAAACAAATAAAATATTAACTATAAAATTCAAATTTTTTTATTATACACATAAATTTATAAAATCCCAATGCATAAAAAATAAATAAAATAATAATTTCAATTAACTTAACATCCCAACACATAAAAAAATTGCAAAAAAAAACCTTATAAATCTTCTAAGTAAAATTATTATTATTATTATTATTATCATTATCATTATTATTATTATTATTAATTACCTTGTACAGGTGCTTCGTCTTCACTGGTTGAATCAAAATATATCTCATCGTAATACTCAACCTTTTTATTCTTTTCTTTATTCTCCTCAGCCACGCCCTCTGTCGTTATGGGTGGAGCTTCCTCTAATCCCCTAACATGAGATGATGATGCCGACTGATTTTGATGCGATTTTGACTGATTTAAAAGATTCGCTAGGAGCAGGTCGGCCTCTTTATCCATCTCTTGATCAAACTCGTCTTCTTCTGTGATGCTTTCTTTATGACTTTTAGAACGAGAGGGAATCAACAATAATTGATTAGTATCGTCTCCATTTTCTTCTAATGATTGATCTTCTTTTTCTTCATCCTCTGAGCTACAGTGAAGAGGGGAATGGCTGCCATTAGAGGAGGGATTGTTAGGAGGTTTTACCTTCCTCCAGAGCAATCAGAATACTCTAGATCACTATCATCTTCAAGATAACCAGCAAAATGATCTCCTTTTAGTGGACCTCTTCCTAACTCCATGCGAGCGCACGTGACTTCGATAATTAGATAGGCCTCATAGATTTTATAATGATTATAATGCTATTATTGCATAGGAATGAGGGGCGGGGCGAGACTACCATTCTATCTAATCATAGATAATAGAGTAAATATCTAATTCTCTTTCTTATCTTGGTGATGCCGGCATGCCGGGTTATGACTTGAAGATTATTGGTGAGTACCCCCGGATAGAGTCCCTCCAGTGCTCCTCATGTGAACTGATATTAAAAGATGCTATACAAACTTTGGAAGAAGGTTTAAGGTTTTGTAAGAGCTGCTGGGAAGAATCAATGTATGATACATAATGCCTGTCAAAGGAGTGTGTTATCATGGGTTTTTATCTCTCATATAGTTCCTCTTTAAAAGCTCAAAAATTGGGGATTGATCCAACTGGATCTGTAAGTTAGATTTGCATCTCTGTTAATTGTATTTAAGTCAAGTGGTATATATGTGTTCTAACTTTTCAAAATTACATTTGTATTTTACTTATATAATTGTTTGCAGACACTTCCTGATAAAGCTGTTAGACGAGAGATAGATAGGCTCCCAGTTTTATGTGAGAACTATGAGAATGGCTGTGATTGGACTGGAAAGCTTAGGGATCATGAGGTTGGTAGCCATGTTGAGAGTTAACCAAAGGCTAGGCTTTAGTGCTGGGCGATATTTCAAAATTCACGATATTTAATTGATTAGCCTCATCGCCCTACCCCTTCGCGAAGGGGTGGAAAGATGAGACTATTAATCGATATAATGCGATATTGATATTTATCAATATCGAAGAAAATTGAAGGAAAATGTTGATAGCATGACCATGCCCACATAATGGTTGCATAATCTTAATAATGGTTAATTAACTTTAGCTCTAAAATTACTAAACTGTTCTTTTTTGGAAGTAACTGAAGTATATCAAGCCAAATAAAGTTTATACAGACCTTTTTAAGATATGCGACTGGTGAAATGTTAATTGTATTCACGATAGGGTGTGGTCAGATTACACCCACTGAGGGAAAAATTATAGCTGTGTTTATGGTGGAGATGGCTAAAAGCTGCTGTGTAGTTAAATGCAATGACTGGTAGGGCAAGATGAGTGATTAAAAGTCTTTAGATTCCCTCTAAATGATTAAGAATGCTGTAAAAGATGGACAGCAGCTGTGAGATGTTGTAATCTGTCAGAACTGTTGCTAGAATCTTTACTGAGACTTATAAACTGAAGGAAAAGGCTTGGAATGTAGTCAGGGTGAGTTGACACACTGTTAGGTTCTCTTGCAGATTGATTAAATAAGTGAGTACTTGGACTATATACAAAAATGTCTTACCAGTATAATACATAGTTAACCCGTAATGCTCATTACAAATGCTCATCATATATCATGGGGCTCTTCTTGGCTGCCAGTGCTCTTGTCTCACAACTGCTGTCCATCTTTTACAGCATCCCTCATCATTTAGAAGGAATCTAAAGACCTTTAATCCCTTTATCATGCCTAACCAGTCATTGCATTTAACTAAACAGCAGCTTTAGCCATCTCCACCATAGACATAGCTACAGTATAATCATTCCCCCAGTGGGTATAATCTGACCGCACCCTATCATGAATACAATTTACATTTCATTACAATTCCACCAGTCGTGAAACATGAAAAGGTCTTTAATAATGATTTTTCTCAGAAATAGCTTCATTTAGCTGTTTTAGTAATATTTAAGTTAATGGGTGTGGTTTAATAACTTATTGATAATACATGTAGATTCATTTTTTGGCAATTATTATATCATTTCAAAATTTTCAATATCACCCAGCACTACATAGTAGGCTTTATTTTACAAGTACTTGACAGAATTGTGGTTAGGAGTTAGGACAGCTGCAATAACACTGTTTTTTGTTCCCTCCCAGCATGATCATAAACCTATCTGCCAGTATAAAACCCAGAAGTGTACTCTTGGCTGTGGTAAGAAAATTCTTCTTAGAAAGTTGAGAAAACACGAACAAGATGAGTGTCCATTTCGAATTACTGAGAGACATGCTCTAGGCTATGGTAAGAGAATTTGTTTACTGATTATCTCCCAAATTTAATATTTTGTGGATAACTGGATATTAACTAATTGGGCAAAGCCTGTAGTGATGAAGGGTGTATGTTTGTCTGTACATATTGTCTAACTATTATTAAAGTTAAATAGCCTAATCGCGGGTGTGGTAACTATGGTCACAATAAAATAAAATGGTAGCTATCAACAAGTCTGAGCTTATTTGCAGCAAATGGTCAGCAAGATAAGACTAAACTGCTGTCCAAAAACTTCTCTAGCAGCAAGGAAGGTCATACAGCACAACAATAGTGTGGCTTGGGGGCTGAGCCTCTTAATGTTTTACATTCTTCTAGTTTGTATTTGTGGTTGGCACTATACATAACCTGCACGTTACTTTGTTCCATGTGTAAGCCGCCATTTTGTTTACTGTGGCCACACCCACTACGTAAAGTGAGCGTGGGTGGGTGGTTTCTAAGGCTTGTTATTTCTCCAATACAACGTCACGTGTATAGAAGAAATGTACATGACTACATGTAAGTGTTGACATACAAACAATTGTATACCTTAAGGAGACATGTAAGTACTTATTTTAGCAATTTTCATGATACTGACATTTGGCTGGTATTTAATTTAGCGTTTTTGATCATCTAATATTAATAACTATTAATAATTTAATCAGAAATTAAAGTTAGCACGGACTTAAGTTAGCGATTTTTTTTAATTGCACCCGCTAACACTGAAAGTATACATCGCACGTATACATCAATTATACAATGTATGAACAACCTGGGGGCTTCGTTCTCAGGTTGTAAAAACTAGCTACATGTTTGTTTACAGTAACGTTAAAAAGCAATTTTGTTTTGGTGATCACCAATACACCACTATTGTCTTATTCATTTATATCTACAGTAAAGCTCCTGCTGAAGTAGTAGTAGAGTACCTTATGGCCAATGATGACTAATTTTATGCCAATGGTGGCCATACATGGGGGGCATGGGTCAAAATTTTATGGATGGTAGTATTATACCACTAAATAACCAAAATTAATATTGTGCAAAATAAAACATACTATAAGGTTTAACTATTTAAAAATGAGCTGTACTCTCTACCTTTTTATGTTCTTGATAGTAATTAATGTTACTATGATTAATTTTGTAAGTGATCATTATGGGTCCTGGTATTTTAGTTTTTTAAAAATTATATACACGTACAGTTGTGAGATAAAACAGGTGATGTTTGTGTATTTTATGCTCATACAGCTATCCTGGGATCATTTTAATTTTTTTAATGAAGTGATTATACATGTATATTATATTTTTCATTCTTTTAGATACTATAAAGAAGTGGTTTAATGATAAAGAAGAAGGTTGGATTGATTTGACCCTTACTCGTGTGCACATGGTTGGGCCTGCTGGATCTGGTAAAACATGTGCACAAAACCTTCTACTTAATGAGCCGCCACCACAACATTTAGAATCTATTCCTTGTCTCACCTTATCCGACCTCATTAATCATCGCACCTCCTCTGACATCTCACCATCTTCTGACGTCTCACTATCTTTTGACATCTCACTATCTTCTGACATCTCACTACCTTCTGATATCTCACCATCTCCTGACCCTTGTACGTCTTCTGACACTTCAACCACTAGTATACCACCTTCAGGCCATGTCGATACACATACCTCTTTTGATTCTATAGCTCCCGGTGTACAACGCAACACTGCAGCCTCCTTCTTCTCTAAGTCTATCACTAACAGTACACCAATAGCTTGTAAAGCTGTCAAAGCTATAAGAATAGCTTCTGATGATAATGAAACATGGAAGAGAATTACTAGAGCTGATTTGCTAGAGAGATTATCATCTAGTTTAAAAAAAGCTGCAGCTAAGTTTTCTCAGCAAAAGCAAGTTACATGTATTTCTCCACCTCCATCTTCAACTGAGTCAGGGTCAGGGACAAATGTTTCAAATAAACAAGTTTCAAATGAAAAAGTTTCTAATGAAGAAGCTTCAAATGAAGAAGTTTTAGAAGAAGTTACACCAGAAGCCCCAGAGCCTATTGATCATGGAGTTGTAGTTAAGGAAATAGTTGAATACATTTCTGTAGCAAAAGCTCAGTTAAGTGAGAAGTGGGCATACATTACTGATTCTGGTGGTCAACCAGCATTTCAAGAGCTGTTACCAGTGTTTACTAGAGCAGCTTCGCTCAATATCATCACATTAGACCTTTCTAAAGGTATCGATGAGGAGTTTGAGTACACGTATCGAATTAATGGACAAGAATTTAAATGCGACGAGAAAATGAAATATTCAAATCGCGAACTTTTCAATTCCATTGTTTCAGCAGCATCAGTTCAGAAAACATTGAATATTCCATATGTGACCAAACCCGTCATTCAATCTATGTCTTTTGTTCTTGGTACTCATTATGATGTGGTAATTAGAAATAGCAACAATGATGAAAAAGAAGCAAAGGAAAAGATAAAGAAGATGAGTGATGAATTGATGTCTCAACAGGATTCTCATTCTAAAGGGTATATCATTCAAGATATACACGAAGATTCTGTCATATTTCCAGTTAATACATTGGTGAGCAATGCAGATGAGAGAAAGACAATCAGCCAGAAATTATTTAAAAAGATATCTGGCTGTAATGAGACTTCTCTTACTGTGAAACTCCCAATTCGGTTGTTTGTGTTTGAACTTTGCTTAGAGGAAAAATCTAAAGCTAAAGGTGGTTTTGTTACAAAAGAAGAAGCTGTTGAAGAAGGAGCCAGACTTCACATGAACCACGATCTTGTTGAAGCTGCTCTAGTCTACTTTCACAATTGCACCATTATTCTGTACTACCCTAATATTATACCTCAATTAGTGTTTGTTGACCCACAGAGAATTCTCGACGTTCTTTCACAATTATTGGCTCTCACATATTTCGACAAGGACACTGCACAATCTTTTGTACCGGAAATAATTCAGGAAGAAATGACCACGTTGAAAGATAGAGGTTGCTTCACGGAAGATCTTCTTGAAAAGTTTACCGCTAATGCAGTATTCACTGGTAAATTCCAGCCAAAGTACTTTATCAATTTGCTTAAAAATTGTCACATTATTGCTGAATTACAGAAAGACATAAGCCAAGCTGGAGATATTGAGTATTTTCTTCCTTCTGCTTTACCTTCATATAATGGTACCTTTGAAAAGAGTCCGACAGATAGAAAACCTCTACTTTATGTATGGAGAAAGCAGAAAGAACGTATTGCTGCAAAAAAATTTGTCAATGTACCTCAAGGAATCTTCCCTCTGATGATTGTCCGGTTACTCAATCAAGAAGATTACGTTGTTCAGCTATCTAATCCTGCCTCTCATAAGGTCACACAGTTTAGAGATGCAGTGTCATTGCTGGTCTCTTGTGACAAAAATGACACTGACCCACATGAACGTTTGTACATCATCAATCGTAAGAAGCATATCGAAGTTATTTTTACCGGGAAAAAGGAGCGTTGTCCAAAAATTAATGCATTAGTTCATAAAGTCATCAATGAAAGTGCAAACGACATCAATATTTCAGTGGAAGACCTAAACATAGCTTTTGCTTGCCAACGTGAAGCCACAAAATACTGTGTTGTCAAAAATGAAGCAGATCGAGAAATCGCTTGCTATGAATGTTTTCACACTTGTACTCTTGATGACAGCTATTGGTGTTGGTTTAATACATCAGGTATGTGTACTAACATTACATTCTGTTTCATTGAGACTATTTTATTTCAAAGGTTCTGCACAACAGCATATATCTGACACAGAAGGTTCTGGTTCTTCACGGTGTAAACCTAGACCAGTTGATGAGAAAATTGATGGCAAATGTATGTTGCTTAATTTTTTGCATTCTTAAAAATTAGTGTAATTGTAAATGTAAATACTGATAATAATCTAGCATTGATGAATTTATCATTAATATGTCACACAATATGCAGCCTTCACTTGTTTTATGCTTGTTTCCTTAGTTTATTCACTTTATTGCATAGAGAATTCAACTATTTTTCATTATAAAAATGTTAAGAACTTATGTACCTGATAATCTTATTAATCCTCATCTTGTATAACAAAAGATTTAATTCACAGGCAAGGAGCTTTCTATGAAAACAGTCACAAAGATTTTTGCTCCTTTTGCTCACCATTACAAGCTAATAGGGATTGGATTGGGTGTAACAGTGAATGATCTGAAATCAACAGAAGAAACAATCGATAATCTTATTAAAGTATTCGAGAGGTGGTTTGATGCCAATAAACGTATCAGTTGGGATACTCTAAAAGAACTCTGTGAAGACTATCCTAAACAGCTGGGCAAAGCAAAGGATAATCTATATAAAGAACTTGGTATCCAGTTTTGAATATTTATTGGCTTTTAAATGGGCTTTTAGTTATTATTGAATTTTTATTGTTTTTAATTTTTTGTATATGTATGTGTCGTGTCTAAATCAATTTCTGATCTTTAATGCAAAAATAGTAGCCCCCACCTATTGATTAATTGATTGGGTGTGGCTCAATTTTAATGAGTAGATGTTTTCAGACAAAAATTAGTAAAACGACTCTTGCAGAGAAGTTTGAAAGCGTTTATGGAGACATTGTAGATGTATTGAAGGTTGATCGTTGGTCCTATCTGGTTGCTGCTAACCGTTTCTTTACAAGGTACATAATAGAGGAACCACTGAGAAAGCAAATATTTGATAGCAGTGGAGAGAGTGCAGTGAGGTTGCTTTTGGATGAGGATTGAGGACATAAATAAATGTACGTGTCATGTACATAATACTGTATAAAGTGCATAATTATCAACTCTCGATTGTAAGTACATGTAGATACAATTCGTTTATTTCTCTCTCCTACTCCTTTAGGTTGAAGTAAAAATAAAAGACAAGATAGGGATGATGCTTGACATGGAAACCGGCCGACTAAAATTCAACATAAACGGAGAATTTATAAACGTAGCAATAACAAATCTACCACGGGATAAACCGCTCTATCCCTCAGCATCAGCAGTGTATGGGAATAGTGAAATAACACTCATTTATTATGGGAAACCAGTAGTGGGCTAGGGAGCTTATTAGTGACTGGTATAGTAGTACAAAGACAGAAAGAGATTTTAATATTTGTTAATGGTATTGCTCGAAATTATTATTGTTATTATTATTATCATTATTATTAACTTATTTTTTTAACCAGAGAGAGAAATAATATTTTATCTTGTTATTATTATTATTATGACAATTTTTGAGTTTAATAAGTTATAGTTGTGCGTTGCATGTTAAGTGAGCTAAAACATATGCAAGCTTGGCTTGTTAATCAGGATATTTTCTGACACATATTAATTATAATAATTATAATTATCATCAAGGTGGACTAGCTAGGACATTAAAAAAATGAAAAACCTGTTCATTATCAAGCACAGCAACTTCAGTATCACAAACTGAACATTTCACAGGATTATAGACCTCATCACTGGGGGCACTGGCATCACTGGGTTGATGACTGCTCTCTTGGTCTCTCCTCCCTCTCTTTCTCTTCTCTGGTTTTGTCTTGTAGTGAAGTACCTCGTCCTTTATCACTTTGCAGTTGAGAACAAACA